GGGGGTGAGTAGAAAATGAAGGCTAATCATGTTTTGGGTGCACTATTCCTTTAAGTCACAGACTGATATTCGACTTTTCTCCACAAGATTGAAAAAATGGCTCAAAGACAATCAAGAGTGTGAGCACTGAACTGGCTTGTACTGTACATTTTTTTAGTTTTAACTTCTCTTGGTTTTTTTATGCATCTGTGAGTCGTTAATAACCTCCCTCCCCCTTAATGCTAACACCTTTTAAAAGCCTAACCAGGGAGGAAGGCTGCAAATTAGCCCATCGCTACAAGCGTTATGTACTTGGACATCAGCCACCTGTTTGGTTGCAATGTTTAATTGTACTTGCCCTGTCAAAAAAACAAATAAATAAATACATTTTAAAAAAAGGACTCACAGTTGTGGTTTTGCGGTTACTACAAGGTTCCTGTTTGTGGAGGCTTCAACTGTTATGGAGATTTCTTTGCTGGAGGGCGGACAGGCAGACTATGGTGGTCCTGAGGAGCAGCGGAGCAGACTGTCACTAGTTTTCCTGAAGTGGACGGCGTTCTGATAAGGTGAATTCTTTCCCTTTCTCAGCGTGACGAGATGATTTTTTTCCAAGGCTAGAACAACCAGGCGTATCCAGTGGATCTGAAGAAATCCTGCCGGAGATTTACAAGAGAGAAACGTGGTTAACGCTTGAGGTCTCAAAAAACAAAACAAAACTCAAAGCATAGACTCAGCTAAACTCAGAGGGGGCTAGAATACCCAATACCGGCAAACACTCCGGCGAGGAGATGGGTACATTCTGCTACTCATATACTCCTCAGACGGTGATGACCAACGAGCTGCAGGTGTGAGTAGTTGAGAGCAGGAAGAGGCCCTCCAGGCCAACAGAGAAACAATGGCACCATCTGGTGGATGCCTGGAGACACTAAAAAAGAACAAAAAAACAACCCCCACAAACTGGAACCCTAATGTTGCGTTCACACCGGGGGCAGCTGGCACGACAGAAGCAGCGAGTTTACATGCAAAGTCAATGGTTGACGCGCGTCAAGGCGCAGCAAAAGGTCCCGCGGCGCGTTTCGAGCAGATAGCGCAGCGCGTCTGAGCAGCTGAAGCAGCGCGTCGGGCGCGTTTTGGCATCTGACGCGCGTGACGCGCCGCAAA